GATTGAGGTCATGTACATGTACTGCGCGACAAGTCGATATATTGATTATTGTGACAGGCCTATAGTTGTGACTTGTTTGGATGAACGGCCATAGTTCAAAAACAGTTGAAATAGTTCTGAAGGATGTGCAATTTGATCAGCATGTAAAATCAACTGAATTGTCGAAAAGAGGGGGAAAAAACACGTTGACTTGTGAAAAAGTACTTTGAAGGTCTGAATGAAAGTTTGTTTTTCAAAGAAGTCTCTTATACTCATCAAAGCTACATTTGTTTCATCAAAAACTGAATGTGAACTGTTAGCCTAATACAATTTAAAATAGCCATTTTCGGTTTTAATATATTTGAAAATGTAATTTATTTGGCGAAGCTGAATTTTCAGCATCATTACTCCAGTCTTCAGAGTCACATGATCCTTCAGAAAGCATTCGAATATGCGGATTATAATTCAGTTACACAATTTTCATTTTCTCTTGTTTTTCAAATGTGTTTCCTTATTCGATGGAACACAATGAGATGTTTTGAAGAATGTTCGTGCTGCTCGTTTCTTTTTCATGCTGCTGACAGTGACCATATCAAATATTTTCTGTATGCCTGATCTGTATGATGTTGTTTATCAGGGTATGTAAGATTCTTAACTTGTATCTGTTTGAGGATGAGAACGGCCGTGCCTGGAGCCGCAGCGTGATGGACAGAGAGCTGGAGGTGTTGTGTGCGAGTCAGTTCACTCTGCAATGTATCCTCAAGGGAAATAAGCCGGACTTCCACTCTGCCATGCCGGCTGAACTGGCCCAGCCCTTCTACAACAACATGCTGGAGCAGCTGAGGGAAGCCTATAAAGCAGAACTCATCAAAGGTGAGGGCACACCATCTGACTGTTGAAGGTTTCATTGTTCTGATTAGGATGTGTTCGTTGTTTAAAGGGTTAGTTCACCCAAAAATGAAAATTAGCCCATGAAGTACTCACCCTCAAGGCATCCTAGGTGTATATGACTTTCTTCTTTCAGATAAATCCAATCGGAGTTATATTAAAAATAGTCTTTGATCTTCCAAGCTGTTTAATGGCAGTCAGCGGGTGTTGCAGTGCTTCAGTCCAAAAGAAGTGAAATAAAGCACATCCATCCATAATAAAAAGTGTCTCACACGGCTCCAGGGGGTGAACAGAGGCCTCCTGTAGCGAATCGATGCGTTCTTGTAAGAAAAATATCCATATTCAAAATGTAATAATCACTTTAATCTAGCTTGCGCTCACTGTTGTACATGGAAGCAGTTCTAGGCGGATGACGTATGAGGTCGGCGTTGCACTGCACTGATGCACTGCAACACCCGCTGAGTGCCATTAAACAGCTTGGAAGATCAAAGACAATTTTTAATATAACTCCGATTCGTCTGAAAGAAGAAAGTCATATACACCTAGGATGCCTTAAGGGTGAGTAAATCATGGGCTAATTTTCATTTTTGGGTGAACTAACCCTTTAAACAACGAACACATCCTAATCAGAACAATGAAACCTTCAACAGTCAGATGGTGTGCCCTCACCTTTGATGAGTTCTGCTTTATAGGCTTCCCTCAGCTGCTCCAGCATGTTGTTGTAGAAGGGCTGGGCCAGTTCAGCCGGCATGGCAGAGTGGAAGTCCGGCTTATTTCCCTTGAGGATACATTGCAGAGTGAACTGACTCGCACACAACACCTCCAGCTCTCTGTCCATCACGCTGCGGCTCCAGGCACGGCCGTTCTCATCCTCAAACAGATACAAGTTAAGAATCTTACATACCCTGATAAACAACATCATACAGATCAGGCATACAGAAAATATTTGATATGGTCACTGTCAGCAGCATGAAAAAGAAACGAGCAGCACGAACATTCTTCAAAACATCTCATTGTGTTCCATCGAATAAGGAAACACATTTGAAAAACAAGAGAAAATGAAAATTGTGTAACTGAATTATAATCCGCATATTCGAATGCTTTCTGAAGGATCATGTGACTCTGAAGACTGGAGTAATGATGCTGAAAATTCAGCTTCGCCAAATAAATTACATTTTCAAATATATTAAAACCGAAAATGGCTATTTTAAATTGTATTAGGCTAACAGTTCACATTCAGTTTTTGATGAAACAAATGTAGCTTTGATGAGTATAAGAGACTTCTTTGAAAAACAAACTTTCATTCAGACCTTCAAAGTACTTTTTCACAAGTCAACGTGTTTTTTCCCCCTCTTTTCGACAATTCAGTTGATTTTACATGCTGATCAAATTGCACATCCTTCAGAACTATTTCAACTGTTTTTGAACTATGGCCGTTCATCCAAACAAGTCACAACTATAGGCCTGTCACAATAATCAATATATCGACTTGTCGCGCAGTACATGTACATGACCTCAATCCTTTTTGGTGACTCAATATATCGACCATTATATTTACTTAAAAATTAATGTCACCGTGGTTTTTTACATTCCACTTGTGTCTGTGGCTTTTGCAGCTTCTCGTACATAATGTGGTGCAGTTGGTGCTAGTTCAAATTTAAAAAATGCTTCTACAAAAAAGTTTCATCTGCAGATATGGTCTTGTTTAGGGATCTGTGCCTTTGTGCATACGGACATCTGACTGCTAAGTAGTGATTGTGTTTTTCAGCAATAGTGTGCACCCTTCATTTACACAGAAAAGAAGGTTAGGGGAAAATCTGTAGATGGAAAAATCTCCATACAAGCTCTTTGTGCATTTCTCTTTTTTTGTACTTGTTACCTTACTATTTTTTCAAGGTATCTAATATTTTAATACTTAATTTCCATGATCTAAATATTCTTAAAAATGAAAAGTTTGTTGTCATTTGGAAGTGTGTAGGCCTTCTTGCATTATTATGCTTTTATATATGGATTAATGAACAGCCAAATGCAAATCAACAAATGCAGGCAGGCGGTTAGAGGAGTATGGGAAATTATCAGAGAGATCTATGCAGATAATTTGAGATAAACTAGATAGATACAATGTCACAGAGCTGTCATCATGCACTTTGAACATCAACGAGTCACTAAGAACACAACAAAAAACTAGATAACTTAAATATAGTAGGCTAGTCAGTTAAAACTTGCTGTTTTTGTGTGAAAAGACAAATTTCACACCTGGCCCTGACTAGATTCTAACCTATTTATGTGCTGAAATCTGCCCGACAACTCCGTTTTGATTTTGTGTAGTGTCTTCAAAGCTGCAGTCACATCGGTGAAATATTGGCAAAATTTCACAAAACAAAAACCTATTGTCATTAGTGATGCATGTAGCCGAACAAACACTTTCAAACCAAGAAGCTTTCGGTTGGTCAACAGCAAATTCACGTGACCAATTTGAACCCAATAACAACTTTGTGAGGAGAAATTTTGCGCCTATTGAAATGACTGGATTTTGCCAAGCAACTTTGTACAATTTGTACAATTAAGTGGGCAAAAAAATGTCTTTTGTCAATAGTGTAGTGACGTATGAAGTAATTTTCAAACCAAGCAGCTTTCGTGGCTAACTTGAACCCATTGCGAAATCGGTGTAGGCAGATCTTTTTAGCCTTAATACACCTTGATGTAAAATAAAATAAATAAATTACACAAAGTTTAAATAAAGTAAAAATCAGCAAACACTGTGAAACCAAATATATAAGAAACAAATGTTAAAAAAAAACTTCCAAAATCTAGATAAATGGCAAAAGTCAACAGGCTTTTCAAAATCCAAAATATTGCCAAACAGGTGCTTTTGCATTTCGTTTCTAAAACTAAATCTTCCGCCATGGTCTTGTTGGTCAGCTCGACTCTCTCTCCTCACGTGATAAATGAAATCCTACCCAGCTGCTGATCTGTGATGCGACCGTCATTGAGCAATCATGTTCAGTTTTTCAGAGTCTGTTCTCTAACTGAACTAAATGATTTTGTATTACTAGGCCTGTCACAATAATCAATATATCGACTTATCGCACAATATATGTACATGACCTCAATCATTTTTGGTGACTCAATATATCGCCCATTATATTTACTTAAAAATTAATGTCACCGTGGTTTTTTACATTCCACTTGTGTCTGTGGCTTTTGCAGCTTCTCGTACATAATGTGGTGCAGTTGGTGCTAGTTCAAATTTAAAAAATGCTTCTACAAAAAAGTTTCATCTGCAGATATGGTCTTGTTTAGGGATCTGTGCCTTTGTGCATACGGACATCTGACTGCTAAGTAGTGATTGTGTTTTTCAGCAATAGTGTGCACCCTTCATTTACAGAGAAAAGAAGGTCAGGGGGAAATCTGTAGATGGAAAAATCTCCATACAAGCTCTTTGTGCATTTCTCTTTTTTTGTACTTGTTACCTTACTATTTTTTCAAGGTATCTAATATTTTAATACTTAATTTCCATGATCTAAATATTCTTAAAAATGAAAAGTTTGTTGTCATTTGGAAGTGTGTAGGCCTTCTTGCATTATTATGCTTTTATATTATGATTATATATTCAGTGGCATAAAATGGTCTTTAAAATGACAATAATATCGCAATTATTTCTGGGTCAATATATCGCACAACAAAAAGTTGTTATCGAGACACAACGACACAGTCTTTGAAACAATATACTTTACTTATAGTCATTGCTGTCAATTATTATGTAAATATTAATAATGTCCAATCCCAACAAACATGTAACATCTTTGGGATATAACGGAAATATCACACATGATAATACTTATTTAAGATCTGTGTGTAAATATGTACTTCACTTTGTTTCAGGATGAATCCTGCAAGCCTGGTTTTATGAATTAAATATGTGATCTGTGAAAAATAGACCCTGGTTTTATAATTTTACTATTAAATATACTAATGAACGAATACAATTTATTCATTATTACTGTATTTGATGTTGTTACAATACATTGAGATTGATGTTATTATATTACATATGATCTCCCTGCCAAAACTGATTTTTGGCCAGACATCAGTACTCGCATGTAGTCAACATCCTTCTGCGTGTCCTCCACTGAGATGCCGAGTAAGACGCAGAGTCCCCTGCCTATGGAGCTGATCTGCTCCTCCCCAACTGCGTGAATGAAGTCATTTATTTAATTGGGTACTGAAGAAGCATTCGAAGTTTGTATTAAATTTGTGTTTATAGTTTTAAGGGCCTTACTATTATTCTCAAATGTGTAAAGTAGTAATGGTACGTGTAGATGCGGCCAAACATTTGACTGGTAGTGTAATTCACAGCTATGTTAAAACTACAACACCACCCTGCCTATAAACCTGTTTTGCCTCTTTGCTAGCAAGTGCCAGTTAACGTGATTCAAAAACAACCCCCCCAAAATATTACATAAACTTTAAAAATACATTTCAATAAACACACCAACAGAAGTTTAGTTTATCATACGTTGTATTTTCTGGGTTCTAGAAAAGAAACTACATTTATTACAAAGCTTTTCACTTTACATGAGATTCATTGATGGACTGGTGTGGATTATTGTGATGTTTTCATCAGCTGTTCAGACTCTCCTTCTGACGGCACCCATTCACTGCATTGCGGAGCAAGTGATGTGATGCTACATTTCTACAAATCTGTTCCGATGAAGACACAAAATCATCTACATCTTTGATGTCCTTAGGGCGAGTAAACCTTTCAGCACATTTTCATTTTTTGGGTGAACTATTCCTTTAACACAGATGCCGTGAACACAATACTCCCCTTTAGATGTGTTGCTGATCTCAAAAGACAATCATCAAATTATTTTATTTACATCACTGCAGTTGAGTTCAGTGTCACAAAACATGCATTTCGCTTTTTAATTTAATTTTAAAATATGAAGTTATTATTTTTTTCGGAAAAACAAGCAAGGAAACAGTCAGCTCATTTCTCGTCTTCTTGTTTTTGACTCTCTGTAGAACTTCCACATGAAGATTTGATGAAGTTTAAAAGCATTGTGGTATATGGCACAGAATCCTCCTTATAGATAATTGTGGTCCGAGTGTGCTGTGTTTCATATATCTTCACATTAGGTCTGTTGTCTTCCACGACCTTTTCAACTAATAAAAACAAAACAAAACATGCATTATGTGCAACAAATGTGCAGTTCTGAAATTAACACAACATTGCCATTTATTCAGTATATAAATTCCCAAGCTTCTAGGATACATTTTAAGTCAAGTCTGTAGAGTAATTGAATACTCTCGGTGCAGATGACAGCTGAAGCTATTATAATTCACCTTTGGCTTTGTCGTCTCCGAGCGTGTATTTGTAATATGCGTAACCAAGCATGGTCCAAACACCAACAGCATACACCAGTGACGCATTCCGGTTCCATTTTACAGGATCGATCTTCATATCTGCAACTGAATGTCAAAAAAGTAGGATATTAAACTGAGCAGATGCCAATATTCACAAAGACGCTGCAATAGTAAACCACTCGTGTTGTCACGTGGATACATGGTCTATGCTTATTTTCATGAAGTGTGTGATTAATCGTGATTAAATCACAGAAAAATGGTGTGATTAATTAGATTAAAAAGTTTTATTTATTGACAGCCCTAATATATATATATATATATGTGTCACACATATATACGTGTGTGTGTGTGTGTGTGTGTGTGTGCGTGCAGGGTGCGAACTACGGGGGAGCTAAGCTCCCCTTAATAAGACATGGGCTTCCCTGAAAACGTGATTTGTGAAATTGTGGGGGTTCTCCAAAAATATTGACTGTGTTATTTTGACGTGCAATTTCAGTTTTGTGTAATGTTATCATCGTGGATTATTATGTGTAAAATTGCAAAAATATCATTCATTCATGCATGACGGCGATTTAAACTTAATTCACTTCAATAAAGATAACTATTCATGCTATTCTTGTCATGAGCATCAAGGTGTGGGGGTGCTGCGGTGCAAATTCCACTCATGTTTAGTACATGTTAAAGGAGTCCTATTATGCTCTTTTACAAAGTCTTGATTTTGTTTTGGGGGTGTGCTAGAACATGCTCTCATGCTTGGTGGTTCGAAAAACACATTATTTTTCACATCATTTACATTATTAAAATACTTTCTCCCCAGGCTGGCACAAACGGCTCGATTAGTTAGTTTGATGAAGGTCCGCCTTCCGAAAAACAAAATGTGTTGTGATTGGTTAGCTGTCCCAGTGCGTTGTGATTGGCGAACAGCTTAGACGGTGTTT